TCAAAGTACATAGATTTGAAAATCCAATAATATCTTTATACCCAGTGTTGTCTATTCCGACTGTGACGTTCAGGTTTCCCATCAGAACTGTCAGGTCTTTTCTTAAATATTTCACTACGATTGACTTCAGCCTCTCATAAACCTGATCTTTAGTCTTCTATGACTGACGCGTAAATAGCACTAAACGATATTCATTGTAATTACTTCCTTCTTGATTTTGAACGATGTTTCGGTGTCCCTGGGTAAACTAAATTCCCATCCTGTAAGTGCTTTCCGTGATTTTTTGGACAGCATCAGTGCAACTCCCCGTATGTATGATTCATTTTCGTTCTTCATGACCAGAATGCAATAGCACCTCTCCTGAAGCTTATCTTTTCTGTCCACCTTGGATTTCACCTATTCCGAGAACCACAAAGTTGTATATACTCATTTCCGCAGCCCTCCTGGTCTGCCACATTTTTCGAACATTATACCTTCCTGCAATACTTGTTTCTCCGGTTATCAGAACGTTCACTGACTTCGTGAATCTTGCCTCTCGCCATAAGACGTTGTAAATTTCCCGAATGAAAACCCTTCAACTTCTCTATGTGGTTTAACGGACTTACTAAATAAAGTAATATTTTGTATTTTTGTATTCAATTACCATGCGCTAATTTATGTTTTTAAAATTGTATTTTCTTATTTAGGAAAGAAAATACATTATTTTTTGAACTGATATGTCCGATAATAAGACCAGCGTTACTTATTGAATCTAATAAAAATTATAATCAACTTGATTTTGGTGCGATCTGCGCAGGTCAGCGTAATATTCGTATTTTGACAGTTAAAAATATCAGTCCGTATTCCCTAAAGGTAAAACGAAGGTTTTTCATGTCACTTAGTATTGTTTATTTTTTCTAGGCTCAATTTATTTGATGATTAGAGCACCTACTAAACAAGGAACTGAGACTATTTTCCCATAGTTTTTCAGTCCAACCTTTTATTTAATAACTCATAAAGATAATCTCAATTCAACATGTTTATGAATCACTGTTGTTTTAAAAGTATTAATTGTAATCATTACTTGGATTGAGGATAAAATTTTGGATTAACATTTATGGAATGGGAGGCTCCACGACCAAACCGTTCAGCTCAGAGAACAAAACTCCATTAAACTACACATTCAGATGTTCTCAGTCATCTAATTATGTTGATATTCCTGAAATATGTTTCCTCATTCGTCTAGCCGGTTGAATAGGTATAATCAATAGTTAGTTATAGAAAGATCGTTCAATGGTAAATCGCATGAAGTCTACAGACTTTTCTAGATATAATCATCTTTAATTGTATATATGACTAGGTAATGGAGATTAGTACATACAAAACCGATGGGTTATATCTAAAATATTCAAACATACACTAGAAGTTGGTCAAACAGGGTTCATAAGGCTTAACAAATGAAATTAAGTACAGGGAATAATCAATTATCTTTTTGACAAATAGTTTAAATAACATTCACCATATGTCGTTAAGTATTATATTTAACCAATTATGGTACATAACTGTAAATATCAACGTAATGCAATTACTTGTGTCAATAATAACTTTTGATCATCTACAGAAACTGTTTTTTTTTCCTACTTTTTAAATATTAGCTCAAACCAAAACCGTTAAATCCAGTAGGAGCCTTCGAAATTATCCAATTTAAAGAGTCTGTCAAATCACGTGAAATATGCAGTTTAAGTTTTGCTTTCACACCGAATCCAAAACAAACTTATTGTACAGAAATATTTACATTAGACGCCTACCCAATAGACAATAAAGTTACGAGGATAAATGTTAATGAATTTTGTCCTATACATGTGAAATTCTCTGGTATTTGCGTGACACCAATGTATGTTTGATATTTGGCAATTTTCAATTAATTTTGTCCCAATTTTTTTATAGCCCATTGGTATGATTTAATCAAATTTTTAAATACTAACGTGGACATTAAGAGTAGAAGACACTGGTAAGCTACTAGTATTTGATCACAGATGTCTTAGAAATATTGCTCGCATCTTCTGGGATCACCGGGTAAGTAATAGTGAGGTTAGACGCAGGGTATTAGGGAACGATGATAAATCGGTTGATGAGGTTGTGAATCTTCATCGACTGAGATGATTGAGCCACGTGTTACGTATGCCTGAACACCGATTACCACGACGTGCAATGCTGACTAGTGTTGGAGATGGTTGGAAGAAAGTTAGGGGCGGCCAAACCAAAACGTAGCATCAGTGCTTGAAGTCACTAACTTGTAGTCCGAGCCATGTTGGTAGATGCAGACTACTTGGTTGAGGTCCGCGTGACTATCGTAACCAATGGTTGGAGATTCTGTGTGACATGGCTTAGAATCGATCACAATGGCGTCGGTGTATACACTCTCTGTCTTGCCTTAAACTAAGAGATTAAAATCGCTTCATATCTTTCCTTCTACGATCTAATTCTTTCTGCCTGTACTATATCCTTATTGCAATCTTTCTTTTATATATTACCACCTCTGAATTAACTACTTTTATGAATCCGGTGTCCATCTTGTTGTGTTAATGAGGTATGGAAACTTGGATCGATGTATATATGTGCCTGGTCCTACGTTGTAGCTGACTGACTAGCTGACTGACTGAACTAGTTGTGAAAATAGAAAAGTTAAGTATATTTTCATCCAAAAATCCGACCGAATTTTAGATGATAGTCAATAAACTAAACAATAATGAGTATTAAATTATATTGATCTATATAACCAAACTATGGATAAAAAATGTTACTCTATAGAAAACCTGTTCTAGAACTGATTTCTAATAATCATTACATTACTAATATTTCGATATAAGCCAATACCTAAATATGAAAACCCAAGTTGTACTGAGTATGACACTTCAATAAACTAATGTTTATTCTGTGTTCTATGGATTAAATAAAAAGACTGTATGTTTAAAAGGCCAATAAACTAAACCGTCTGACTACAAAGTTTTATCTCAATAACATTCAAGATGAATTTAAAGAGTTCTAAAGTTTCATGATACCTTATAGTTTAACATATTTTTGTAAAGCTACCAAGACAATCATGGTATGGGTTTTATGTCAAATTGACAATGTTAAAAATAACCTTATCTGGTGTTTACATTTACAGTTGTGTGAAGTAGTTTCCGGTAAATGTATTAATCTGTTTAAATTATATAGTGACCTTACTGATTATGATGTCATCTGATAAACGTCAATATATAAAATTACTGATTGACATCTTTCCTTTCAGAGTAGAACTTATTGATCCACCTGAACTAGCAAGTATACCTTATTCGTTGCAAAAGACAGAACAACAAAGCCTGACAAGTAACTTAAAGCAGACAACTCATTATCTTAACTTCGGTTATATTTTACTTGGTGGATTCATTGAACGACAAATAACTCTTTATAACCCCACAAATATAACATTAAATTTTCAAATACAGATTGATGAAAATCAAACAGGTGGGTCACGAAATCTAAATGGCTTACCCGTATTTATGGTTTTACCAAATCAAGGGAAAATCAAGCCAGGTACGTTTTTATTGTATGTTGTGTTTAGAATTATCGTTACTTCTTTTACAAACAAAAGAAAGTGCACTACTCCCTTAAAATGCGAGTGCTAAGTTTGTGGCGGACAAAAAAATTAATAAGACTCCAACCCAAGAACTCTGGTTCCACACTAGACACTTTATCAGCAGAAGTGTTGCGTCGGCAGTTTCAACTTCGATCGATTCGTAACTATAGCGTAACTATCGTCCAATCATATTGGTGAGAACTGTTTCACTTTCGACGTTTAAAATCCACCAGAAATGACTTCTTACCATAACTTTAGGAAAACCTTGAAATCCCCAGTAAGCTGATCATTATAGTTTGGTTTAAAAGTTTAATTAGAAATTGTTCTAATCCATAGGTTTTATTTGTCGTAGATGGAGTTCATACAAGTCGGGAGTGAAACAGACCTCAGCAGATACACTGAAGGATCAACACTCTATATTATTAATTGACTGAAGTTGAAATTGTACCTTCTAATGCTATTCAGCGCTCCCTAGTTTCGATCGATTCCTTAAATGATATCATTCTGTGACGAATGCAACCTACATATTAGACCGATTTCCACAAAACTGCTTCAAATAAATCAAATATTCATTTTTTCAGTATCCTTTACAAGCATATAATTCTAGCTAATCAATTAATCACGAACTTTACTTTATAACTCCACTAACGTCATCTGAAAATTCCCTTAAGTTAGTGAGATTGATGTAGTCTTTGGATGTCTAACTATGCCATCCAATTTATTAACGCAACACCATAGTGAATGTTAGAAAACTAGGTAAAATGAGTCATTTTATGGAGCAATACAACACACTTGTAGACGTGATATCCTTAACAAAAAAAACCCAATCAAAATTCGTTCAAAGCATAAGTTGTGAAACTTTAATTTTATGGATCATTCATCGACTTATAAGATTAGGCTTCGATTATCAGGCTTACTCATGTCCTAACATATCAACTCATTAGAAAATTTGGAGATCTAAGGCATGTCTGAATGGTCACCATTCAAAGCAATACCTAAGCTTTTGTATACCCTGACGGTGTTCTCGTGACTTTTGGGTTGTCTGATCTGCCAAGTGTGATTGGACAGTGCATAATGGTAATGTTATGTTCTAGGTTCAACGAGAATTGTATGCTATATACATACAAATCCGCCCCGTTATTGTTCCTATTATATAGTTTCTAGAAAAACTAAATTTATTTGGTGGAAGTTCGAACTGCCTAAATGTTTATATTATTCTTCAGTATTAAAATGAAAAATTTTACTTCATGTTTCAAACCATCTTACTACGTATTCAAAAATGATTTAAAAAGAGATATAACTTTAGTTTTCGGAAATAATTTTTTATATCTTAGAAATAAACATAAAACATATTGTTATAGAGATTATTTTGAATAAAAAATAATCGATATACATGAGATGTTTCCCTTCTAATAAGTTGGATACCGAAATGGCTTATGACATCTATAAATTCTTGTTTGTTTGTTTGTTATGATTTTGTCATAACATGACATTGATGTCTTATAGTAAATTTTCTTTCCCTCCCTTTTTCACTCACTATTTTTGTTTGTCTCTTCATGTTATATCCCACAAATACATCACTTTATACATGTATACTTGCATACAGAAATACAGATATATATATGAATGAATAACTGAAGAGGATAATTTTCAAATATGGAAATCAAAATTCAGCTTCTACAAAAAAAATTATGTTGCCTGATGATCCTTCTCATGAAACTTTCAAAAATTCTTTTTCATATCATTTGGAATTCCACAAAGTAATCATGATTAGAAGTGACAGTTACAACAATAGTAGTGATATCAGAAATGATCTAATCGAAAGAATCATTCAAATGAGAATGCATTTCTTAATTTATTCCAATATATATTTGTATGTCGGATGCATTTGTGAAAGTCTTCATTTAAAAATAAAATTCTAAAGTAGAAATATAATAAGATTACTTAAATTTGTGTATTTAAACCAAGTAATATGGAAAAATGTTTTGATTTTAAGAGGTACCACAAAACATGATGAGTAATAACTTTAGACAATGTAAAAGCAAATTATGAATATAATGAATCGTCAGAAAATCAATTTCTTCTCAAAGTAAATTAGATTTTAAAGCAATTAGTCCCTTTGATAAACTTGGATAGTGTAATTAGAAGACGAAGATAGTTCTCATGGAGATTAAATATATGCTACATTCTTCTGAAATCCTTAATCTACAAACAGTTATCGGCATTGCGATTTGTCATAGAGTTCAGAACAACGTACTACCTGAGACAAATGTTCATTAGTGCAACTCACCACATTATGCAACAGTGAAGCGTAAAGAAAGTAAAGGACACAAAATTACTGTACATGGTCTGTCTAATAAATACTTCAGCCGAGTTATCAAAGTTATTAATTATGAAATGGTAACTGACCTTTAACACTGATGGAAATATAAAAGGTGTGAAGCCTCTTATGTGTGTTTACAGTGTCAGTTCAATTTTGATTAATTGAATTCAGCATAGTTTTCAATGCACATGATCCCAGCTAAACATTTTGAGTTGTAGAAATCGAGTTGAACTCCTATCAAAGTAGATGAAACTCAGTCAGAATCTAGGAAGGACAAAATGCTTCTACAATTAGAAAACTTATGTTCAACTTTTTAACCTTCATAGAAGAATCTTCACTGGGGACTGTGATGTAGCCAAGAAACTTGACTTCTGAGGATAGTCAGGGATACATTAAATAACTCATAAATAAATGAGATTATTATATTTTGATAGATAAAAATTACTTTGTTAAACATGAAACTGATGTATCTTACATTTTGCAAAATAAGGTCTATATGACTTCAGTCTAATTACCTAATAGAAAGATTATTAGTATAAATTCTGATCTACTACAGAACAGAAACGACTGCCATATTTTCTAATCCATGACGATGAAAAATATCTAGATCAGCTATACCGTTTGGTTTTAAATGTTTTGATTATTTCTGAGGAATATCGAGTGAAAGTGCGCTTTCTAATGTGTGGATAAATTTTTGCATATTTTCTACTCTTAAGATATTGAGCATAATGAAATGCCACGTAGTAACTGTGTATTAACAATATACTGTAGGAAACAGTTTCACAAACATGTGACTCATTAGTGTGAGTTGATTCTTTTAACTTTAATTATATCTATCTATTTATTTAGCTATAAAGACGTTCTTATTCAAATTATTCTTATGTCTTAAGCATTTGATTTTACCAAAAAATATTCCTCATCTATCCCCATGAAACTGGATAAACTTATGATCGATCTCCTTTATCACCATATCTTTTGATCGAGTTCAGAATAAATATTTTGAAATATGCTTGTACACTAGAAAAATGTTTGAATTCACTTGACATTGTTTACTTGAATCTTCTCATTGATGTTTAGCGATGCAATTGATCAGTCTCTTATTTACATATGTGCATACTATGCGTATTGCCTCGATGTTGCCTCAATTCATAAGCATAATAAGCAGAGATGGGTAGTGACTAGCAGTAAATAGTTAAGTGGATAACGCGATGGCATTTGAAGCGAATGATACTGAGTTCGAGACCCAGAGTGGACTTCAACACTGTGATGATGGTACATCCAGATGACGAGTCTCAAACAAAATGAAACGCTATGTAGATTTGTTGAAACATTTCCATTTATGGCTCAGTTTATTTTACTATCTTAGTTACATGTTAAACCAACACTTCTATACAACAACTGAGTAGTACACATACTTATCAAGTTTAATATCATTTATGTTTTATGTTAAATCATTTACATTTCTTTTAGATTGAAGTATTATATTATGGACAGGTTTTCAACCATTTTTTATCAAATAATAACTAATTTACATCCATAACTTCATTGATTAAGTTGTTGTTCGAATGCTTGTATTACGTTAATATTTAAAAGAGAATTTCACTTCATTTTCTTATTGTTTATTTTTGCTTATTTAGATAGTATCGCCTTTAATGACTATCAATTTAATTAGCTTTCTCTGGTTGTTTTTCAGCTTATGTTTTCGACATGCTAGCCATTAAACAATTTTAGTAAATGCGATGAAAATTATAATGCTGGTTTTGATTTACTTAAGTGTTGTCAGGAAAGTGTATTATCTAGAATATGAAAAGATACATGTTAAGATAGAAAAATACTCCTTCCTTTTTTGTTCTATTTATTTAGATTAAAGAATAGTTGATCAAGGTAGCTGGTTATGCTTTAATAGCCACTTAATGTTGTTGATTATGTAGACGATGATGTTGTTGATGGTAATAAAAGTTTATAAAATATGGCTGTGTCAAGATAAATATGAAGCAAAAGTGAGCTTTTGGAACTGCCCTAATGGGTTGGTGTCTGACAAAATCTCAGCATGAATTCGAAGAGCTCGTTTGGCTTTTGCCGACTTACGTCACCTATGGTGAACTCGAGATATTCGTCTATCAATAAAAGGACGAGTATACTCCACGGCAGTTCGTGCTGTTTTACTTTACGGCTGCAAAAAGTGGCCATTAAGAGTTGAAGATATTCGTAAGCTACCAGTATTTGACCACAGATGCCTTAGACTTATTGCTGGCATCTGCTGGGATCATCGGGTAAGTAATAGTGAGGTTAGACGTAGGCTATGAGGAAATGATGGTCCTACGTTGTAGCTGACTGACTGACATGTTGGTCGTATAATTATTAAATACTCAAACTATTATACTTTCACATTTCCCCTACTTGTGAGCTTTTGAGAAAATTATTATTGTATGTTTTATCGCTACCAACTTATTACGGAATTTTCACTCAATCCTCTTCCACTTCTGATGTGGCTGTACCTATATTGTAAATTCTTAATTCTGTTGATATGTGGTCAGGATTTCACTAACTTGTGTGCGATTTATTCCTTAATTTGAACTGTATAATTAAAGGCTTTCTGCTTACTGAATCATTCTATACTCTGGCTATCAAACAAGCAAGCATGACAACTTATATTCCGGACTAATCATAACTTAGTGTTACTCTCAGCTGTAATCTTACATTTGTCATGTGATTGGTTAGTTAAAGATCATCGTTATTAAATAGACAATTGAGGGGAGCTGATCAATAAGACTGATTTCCTTTTTTACAGTCCGATTTCATGGGTCTCAAATAAATTCAACAACAAGATCTGTTTATTTCCACCGAAACACCAAACATAAACCCTATCAACAGTACCATTTTCATGAACATGAACAACGCAACACTTTAGCAAACACTTTAAATGATTTACATCTTTTATGTAATATATTCATTTTACCCAAGTATCAATAATCAAAAAATACATTTTTTCTAAACTTGCTTTCCGAAAAGGATGATATAATTTATTTATTTATTGTAGGACAAAAATGTATTTTCTGAAGCGCGCATCCACCGCACGCGGGACTCGGACCCAAGATCCCCGGTCTTGCATGCGCACTGCCGAGGAGTTTTATACTAGGACAAAACGACCGTCCAGTGCTTTCCGGTTTTCAATGGTGATCTAGCTTAGATCGGCTCGTGAAGATAATCATTCCACGGTATTCTTTTTCTGAATAGATGAGGAAATCACTGAATAACTTGTTTTGCACCACCACTTTATCATTTAGTGAAGAATGTTACTTATTGGCTCTAAGTAGCTATTTGCATCTATCGATTATGATCTGGAGAACGGCAGATTAATAGAATGATTATTTATCATGACTAAATATATTTTTGTGTTAGGTACTTAAAATGACTAACCAGAAGACATAGCTCTTTCAAACTATTCAATGTCAAATAATCGATTCTGTTTACCTTTTTATATTTTAAAATATAGGTGATAAACAGGTCGTTTCTATCACATTTTCACCTGACCATGATAGTGAAGCATACCAGCAAACTTATTTGATAACACTTCATTCACAAGTAAACCTTTTTGTTGATTAATTTGTATCTTGACAATGGTAATCTCTATGTTTACATTATTATACGTTTCTCACAGTCCATTTTTTAAGTTCACAGAAATAATAAAGAAGCGCTGTTTAATCATAACACTTCATTCCTATTATCTTCATTGGTACAATGATAGCTATTAGGAATACTACTTAACGTATCTTAACATATGTTTTATTTTCTGATACATTTCTTAGTGTTAGATGAATAACATTAATCAAAGAGAAAGCTCCAGGATTCACTTTTATTCTTGCTGTTGAAACTCGTCATGAAAGTTTATCTACATCCATCCAGCAACCCGTAATCTCAGAGTGACAACTACAATAGCTTGATTGTCTAGAGCAGACACAATACCACTGTATTTTTCTCGCAGTAACTGATCCTTTACAAGATTAAGTCAAATAAATAAATTCATCATTAAACAGAAACCAGTGTCATGCTATTTGTCCCGCGGTAATGACCAAATATTTTTCATAAGATCTCTGGACATGAGTCAATTGTTGATAGACCACCATGGAAAACCTGGAAGCACTATACTGCTATTATTAAAATTCTTGGTATTTAACATCAGTTTTTATACTTTCAATATTCTTCTGTAAAAGTGATTTACACCCTTATAAATAATCTACTAATTAGTTTTGTATAATTATGAAATTATGTGTGAAGTACATATGAAAGGGTTATAAATTGCAAAACACCCTCGTTTTCACTCCCAATGAAGTGACCAATCATAAAGAAAAGTCAATATCTTTTCATTACTCTATTTATTTATTTATTTTAACACATAAATATTGGCACAAGAGAGCGGCAATATATATGCACCACACAAAACAATGAGAATTTAAAGAGAAGGAAAAAGAAAAAAAGTAAGGAGCGTAAAAAGAAGAGAACAATAACGAAGAGACTGGAGTAAGGTAGTGTAATAAATAATAATAGTAATAATGGGGGAACAGAAAGGCACAATCAGAAGAAATCTTTCAGGT